CATTAAGTAATTTCTAAATTTTAGCATTTAGTTGCTACACCCAACCCCCATGCACAATGCCTCTTCCATGAACCCTCTCTTTGAACCCTTCTGGCATAGCTTCTTCAACAGACTCAAATCCAATAGGTGCTTTAAGTGCTGCCAGAAATGGAAAACCTGTTAACTCAAGACCCAGCAACAGTTCCTTGAACTGATCTTGAACCATCCTGCATTCACTTCCAAATGCACAGTATATGACTGAACCAGCCTTGAACCCATCAAGCCATTCAACCCATTTTGGTTCCAATGTAGTGGTTGATGGCTCTGGTAGGACAGGTCCTGAAAGCAAAAGAGGCTTCCCATAGAAACTTTGAAGAAACTCAGCAAATGGTCCCTCAATTTCGCTACAACCTCTAAATCCAATTGCATCTGCGAATCTGGTGCCAATGCTGATGCGGTCGTAGAAAGAAAAACCCCTGCCGAACTCCGATTTGATGAATGAAACTAATACTCGAACCTCATGAGCTTGAAGCTTGATTGAAGAATCTGGGAACCCATCTGGGGTATTCATGAGATAAAGCTCATCTCCAACTAAGTTATTTTAGTTATTTTCCCTACAACGCTTCTCCATGATTTCCATATAACATTCAAATATCAGGCTTAGGGTTATGTAATGAAGAGACTTGATGCCTAAGCTCCGAGTCAAGCTGGGTATCCAAGATGCTAAATCAAAGAAAACAATGTGGGGTTTGAGCTCAAGTAAAAGTAGTTGAATGTCATTCTGAGTACGATCCATGGCAGTCATAAGAAGCGTGCCTATAGAGAGTGTAATATCAAAAGTGGTTTCAGCCTCAAGAGGAAGGCCATCAACGTGGGGAATGGTGATGGGGATGAAGATTATTAAGTGTGGATAGAGGTTGAAATGTTCCACCTTTGCCTGTGTTCGTTTGGGTATGAAGAAAGAGATTCTGTGTCTTCTTTTGGCTAATTTGTTGGCTAGGTGGAGATATGCTGTTATGTGTCCCATAGCAAGCCATGGGTACATAGCTATGTGCAACTGCAAGTGTGGTTCGTCCATGGCTATCTCAAAAGTATCTTGCTTTCTCTCTATAATAGGCTTATTTGATGTCTTTTCGATGGGTGCTGAACCAAAAAAGTACTGTCGCTTCTATCCATCTAACATGTGAGTTACTGAGTAGTGGCCAAGAAGGGAAAGGGACCCCATTGGATTAATTATTGACTGCACAAATATAGCAATAATTGGGCCATTTGAGAGAGACTCAACAGTAGTTACTAGATCTTAAATAGTCGGGTAAGATTTGACTGTTTAAGAATGTCAGATTTATACTTTTAAAAAAAATATTTATTTAAAAATATTAACTTTTGACTTAAAAAAAAAAAAAAGGATGAATTATAGTGTGGACAAATTCATTAAATGGTGTATCGCGGTCTATATAACAATAGTAATCGGGTAGCATAGTTATAAGTTAGTTTTCTTAAATTATGTTATGACCCTTGTTGAGGTGCACAAGGGGTATTTCACATATATTATTTTTATATTGGTATGAATACAGATGAAACAAGCTAGTGTGTTTTATAAATTCGTTGTTCTCTTTGTTTTTATATGATGCGGAACTTTTATTGCATTTTCAACCATTCTTTTCTCAACAAAGGAATATAGATAACCTCCCATTTAATAGATAGTAGTTGATAAGTATTTAATGATGACCCCCTCACTTTTCCACCATACAAAGGAGCATATTCCTGAACTCCATCTGACCAAGAAGAACACTATAAATATTATATATCATGACTCTTATCTATCTAAACATTCTTATTTTTCTGTTTCTTTATAGACAGTGCTTTTTTAATTAAACATTCTCCAGAAGGCATTGTGTATCTCTACTTTTGGCGTATGGTTACACAGACAAGTAAGAATTATATCAGAGATTCAGGGAGAAGAGATTTGTACCTCTTATGTAGGAACAATTGTGGAAAAGACAGTGTGACATGAATGGGGTTCGGGAGAGAAAAGAGAAAAATGGTGGCCTTTGTTCTGCAGTGGCGATGTCAGCTCATCATAAAAGATGTTTGTGAGTGAAGAGTAGAGGGTTTGGGAGGAAAAAAAATTGCTTTTTAAGACTACTAAATTTTTTCTTATTACATATGACTTTTCATGTAAATTTTATATAAAATTCGTAGTAAACATTATTTCTATGAATTTTTCTGCAAAATTTTATTTACAGATAATACTTTCGTGTATAATATATTTTTGCGAATTTTAAAATTCACAGAAATTTTCCTGAAATTTATTGCAAAAAAATACGCAGGAAATTTTTTTGCGAATGTTTTCGCAAGAAATTCTGCAGAAAAATTTCTTACGAAAATATAAAAAACAATTATTAGTTTATTGCAAATTTCAAATATTTACAATGAATTCATATGAAACATTAAGAAATTTGCATTCACGCCTTCAACATGTGATACATAATCTTTTAAACTCTTAGGTTGTAGATATAAGTCTAACATTCAACTATACAAAATCAACTTGTAACGTAAGTGTTGTCCCAACTTATAAACTCTTTAATTGTTTTATTTCTAATAGATGCGAGACTTAAAATTTTCTTTAAATATTAATTAGATCATGTCTTTAGAAATAAGATTAATTCATTATATTGAACAACAAAATTATATTATTATAAATTATTTTAACTCTTAAAATATTGAATATTCTAAAAAATTAGTTTTTTATTAAATAATTTTATGTTAAAAACTATCATTCAATTAAAACTCAACATTATTAATTTATATTTAATTAAAATAAATATTTAATTTATTAATATTTTAAATTAAAATTAATTTTTATGAAATATTTACAAATAATTTAGTAAAATAATATTTTATTAAGTAAATAATTTT